TGAGACGGCTGCTAACTATGGTCAGTCTGGTGGTATGACTGATAACAGAGGACAGTCTCGTGGTTTGTTTGTTTGTTGAGGACAGCATTGATATATTTTATATATACCGGTATATAAACAAGACCTGGTGGTAATAGATTAGAAAATGTAAAATGTGTTATAATTGTTTTTACGCGTGTATGAGATAATGCAATGATAAATTAAACATTATAGTATAGCATTGTTCATGATGCTTAATTTGAGTCTTGATCGCTTAGTGATATATTTTTGTATTTTATTATGTAGCCAAATAGTTACGTAAGAGGAACTGGCATTTACATTTTACAGGAAGTTTATCTTTCAATTACTTGGTGATTTACGGGATTAAGAGGCCTCTTCCCCGATATTGATCTGAGTAACCATTCCTTAACGCTGGTCGAATTTGGTTGGGGAAATCTTGACTTTCCTGTGTAATTGTCCAGGTGCTAATCCGGCTGTTCCGATATAAACCTGTGTTATATTCCACTAAAGTGTGGTGTTCCACCAATAAGTGGCCCGTATTATTCCACTAAAGTGTGGTGTTCCATAAATATGTGGTTTTCCAGGCAACTTCAAGGTTTTCCTGTAACCGTCTGTGTTTTATTTATTTTAAATTCCCCAAGTACAGTAAACTACAGTCAAGTGGTGTTTAAGTAATCTGGCATATTCCAGTAACTCCCACGATTGCTGATCCTGCCTTTGAAAGTAAGAAGTTAACCTGAGACGAGATGGCCAGTAGGGAAATTCTTAGAATTCAGAGAAGACATCAGGTAGTTCCTAAAGAAGATTCTGATGTTGAGATGACGATGTCGCAAGAGAAGACAATTAATTATAAGAAGTCTACTAAAGGCAAAGGAAGATCACAGAATATCTACCATAAATTGGGTTCACAGACACTATCTTAAGATGAAAGTAATCAGTCTACTGATGAAGGTCATCAGTCTACTGACGAAGATCATCCTACAGAGCGCTCGCAACAGAAAATAGATTTGAAGAACGATTTGCTAGTTTTGCTACTAGAATGGACCAGCTGGCAAATAATATGGAGATGATCCAGTCTACTTTCCACTCCTGTTATCACAGAAGCAACATCCTAGGGTTAGACGAGACACCAGTGGAAATGCCTGACCCGCCAGTATAACAAACACTCATAAATTTGAACAGACTCAATCTCTGAAGGTCAAGGTTCTGAAGAAGGCAAAGACGATGATGCTAACATAACAGCTACAACAGTGGGGGTACCAAGTAAAACACCCAGTGTTACAACAAAGCTTCCCCCCTTTCAAAGACGAGGAGAAAATATGGTTTAATCGTTTTGAAACCGTAGCAGAGAGGAACTCGTGGAATAATGGTTAACGTCTGGATCAGCTATTACCTAGGCTACAAGGCAAAAGCAGGTGAATTTGTGTTTGGCAAACTATCCAGGAACACTAGAAACAATTACAAAGCCCTCATAAAAGAACTACACAACATATATAGAGTAGTGGAGACGTCTAAAACGTTTGCTGCACAACTCAGCAAGCGACAACAAAAACCTGGGGAGACTGTAGAGGAATATGCAGCGGACCTTATATTAAGCGCGTATATGACAAGACACACAAAGAGAGGTACACCAAAACCAGATCTGAAGACATTCTACGTAAATTCTTTGATGGTCTACAAAACCAAAAAGCCAGCTTTGAAGTAGAATACCACAAGGATCATAATGATGTAGATGATGCAGTGTACTTTGTTGTTAGCTATATGACCAGAAGGTCACAGAAGATGGAAAACGAAGGGTCATAACGTGCCACTAAAACAGTAACAAGTAATACAGACACAAGCAAGATGTTGAAGACGAGGTAATAAATCCAGTCAGGAACATAGACGTCAAAAGACAGAAAAAGACGACGAACCATAGCAGCAAATCGGAGAGAGTCATTAGAGGACTTGAAGAAATCAATTGCGAGCGGTCGTAATACACAATACAGGAACAGACAAACAGAAGACAGAACCTGTTTTAAGTGTGGCACACCTGGTCACATAGCTCGGGATTGTCAGCGCTATACTCAGCAACACAACTATTAGCAACAACACCAGAGGTCAGCAAGGTCACTACCAAATAGGTCAATATTTCTCGAGACATGAAGATACTGGTCGTCATGGATTATCTTCAGACAACGTTTATTATGGACCAGAGATGGTAACACCAATGAGACTAACAACTACAAGGAACCTTTAAACTACTAGAGGCTACTTCAGATGATCAGATGACCGGAAGGACGCTACACAAAATAAAAGTATTAGTCAAAAACAATGCTATGAAATGTTAATTATTGCAGAGAAGATAACAGAAGTAAATTACAGAGTCCAATTGTCTTCTGATGTCCAGAAGACAAGAATTCTCCACCACGATAAGTTGAAACTCTACCTTGGAGACACACCTGATTGGACGAAGATAATACAGTTGTGTGACTGCACAGCGCACCAAAAATAGCGTGCGAACACTGTGCATACAACGTGTACACACCGTCCGGACAACTGTGCGATTTCGCAATCGTTCGCCCCGCTGTGCGCTTCTCTCCACACAACTGTGCGATTGGGTACAATTTGTAGATCCATATTACGGAATGATAAAAATACGGAAAGCTGGTATGCAATAATGAAAACTGTATGTATGTATTACTGTAATTTCTCATCACAGTAATGAAGATTATGTACAATTTTACAATGCTTGTAACACAGCATTACAGTGACCGTTAGACTGTCAAGGATGACTTTGGCTCCAAGGTAACAGAACAGGTAAATAACAACTTGATGAGTGACCGAAATTTTACCTGGCCTGTACCTGAAACATAGAGCTGATATGCGTTACAGTATGGTCGTAATGAAAACACAACTGGACGTTTAGTATCTGTTATTTGCATTCGGTTTGCCTATAGCTCCCCTTAACCTGAGTTTTCACACCCCTGGCCCTACCCGACGAAAGACGTAAGTGCCCCGGGCGGGGGAAAATGACGGTCGTGGTACATTTACAGTGTGGCTATGTTTACCTGTATACGGGACTGTGTTGTAATTTTACATTTGTCGATTAAGGTGCTTTAAAAATACCAAAAAAACCCACAATTTCTAAGTTTAAGGAAGGAAAGACATAAAGATAAGCTTATAGATGTAGGTAAAATATAGAAACATACGTAAAAATCAAGTTTATATGTTTAAACACGAAACCGTATATATTGTTATCGCACTCCTCAATTTACACCAACCACGATTGTTATCGCACCACGTTCATCCATCGTGCACACAAAAGAGCGCAAGCAATGATCGTCCAACTTTTAATCTTTCGTACATCGTTCAACGTTGTGCGATCCCACAACTATAGTATATTTACTATGATGTCAAGGTGATAAAAAACCTGGATGTTGAGCTTTACAAATTTACAAACTATTAGTATATTGCTTCAGTACATATCAGCCTCATCTAACAGGGATGGATCATTGTATTATCTTTACATATTGATCAGCATTTAGAGAGCATTATTTTCCCATTTGACAGCCATTGAACTTCAAAAAGAGGCAGAACCTACCAATGCATGTCCTGTAATTTACACAGAGGAGAGTGGTGTCACACTATTATAAACACCACGTGCCTTTGGAGAGATGTCCGTATTACTGCACCTTATGCCCGTTTCATGCTTGGCGCCAACATGACCTGGACAGACATGTCACCAGCTACCCTGACCAAAAGGCGAAGCTTCTGACGCGTGAGTCAGCTTGTCGACCACTGGACAACGTCAACTTCCACCTTAAAAGGCTTTCCAGAGAAGAGTCCTAAGCAACCTGGTCGAGGAGAGCCGGCAGGAAGGACCCAGTTGATCCACTCAAAGGCATTCAAGAATTACTAGACAGAGGAATCAGTGGGCCTCCCGACACTGGATGACTTTGTTCAAGGATATTAGGGAATTGTTTGCGAGGCCCCCCAGAAGGTACCGATGACCCCGAAGGACTGGCATATCTCTTTAGGTATTCCATCCACAACACCAACACTGGACACAGTAACGGGAAAACTACTATAATTATTGGAAACAAAGAACTAAATAGAAGACGCCAACACAAAGATATAAGTATCCATTTCGCGTGACCTAAATGAGCTCAAGAAGGGACAGAAATGCATAGAGGACAAGTTAGACCAGCTACTACAGCCAACGAGGATGAGATCAAAGAAAGAATAATTGTGTGGACTCGGTTATGTTACAATATTTCAAATTCATATAACAATTATTTCGTAGATAGTCGATAATTTATTAACCGACTATTTGATAGGGTGTATATGGTATTATTGGACTGGATTATAGCAGATTATGTTCTTAGGGGTTGTGGTGGATTTTAACGTTGAACTATTTGTAAAATTGGCATGCAGATATACCGTTAGTCATTCACAAATTTTATGGAAAATACTTTGCATTTGAAGCATTTCAAGCTGCCTTTGAAGCGGGCACATTTGCAGGTGGTTGGCTACTTGGGGACAGTTGTTATGGACTTAAACCTTGGTTGCTGACCCCTAAACAGAATCCTCAAACACGCGGAGACAAGCGCTACAATGTCTCTCATCGTAGTACCCGCTGTGTCATTGAATAATAATTCTTCTAAAGTAGTAGTATATACAATGGATTACTAGTTACTTATTATGCCCCAGTGTACAATGTTAGGTTATATCTATACCACCATATCCATATTATCTATGTACATATTACAGTATAATAGCGTTCTTGGGAGCATGCACAATTTTAAGTGTGTGTGTGTGGGGGGGGGGGGGATGGATAGAGTGAATGCTTATGTCATTATTAATCGTTAACTTCGGTAGTAACCCCAAGTCATCCTCCATATTATGCAGCGGAAGTGACGTAGTACGCAAGTAGGTCGGCACATTAGTATGCGTGTATGTGAGAAGAATTAATTTATTGTGTATATTACTTATTTAAACTAGTAAACATTTTTCAGCGATAATCCAGCTAGAGAGGAATAAGTTCACGCTATCTCTAGTGTAATATTCCAGCGAGACTCAAGCGAGCGTTATTTTGAAGTGTTCGGGTTCAGTCTGTACTAGGCAGCTTATGTTAGGTGGGTGTGTATTGTGCTTGTCTTTACGTGTTTCTTCCGCTATGTACTAACGAGGCCACTTCCTCAAATTCCAGATACGGCTGTCTCGTCTTGTATATTTGTTGTATGCGTTTATGGGTTATATGTGGATGGGGTTAATTCATTTATTGGGAATTTTTGTAGGGTTTTAATAACTTAGACGTCGTCGGGACAGTAGCTACGGGAGGGATGTCATTTTGAACGGGATTTGGGAACAGCTATAGTTTATTTGAAAGTTTATTGGTAAAGTTCATTCCTTAATAATTCATTAGAAGTTTCTCATCCATATATAATTATATATTGGGGAGGTTTTATTAAGCTGAAGCTTGCTGGAGTAATTGAAGTATCATTAATCTTTTTAAATAGAAGGCATATCTTTGCAAATTCTTCTTGTAAGCTCTCATCATCTAATAATTTTTACAGAATGACTATGAGAAAGGATAGGGAGTTTGTGATAGTGAGAGGGATAAGGAAGGCTGAGTGATTTGGAATGAGAGATTTGTTATTGTAAATATTTAAAAAAACACGTTATTGTTGACAATTAAATTATTGAACTTGAATCCACTCATTGGTTTTGCTGAATAGGATCATTATCCAGGGAATAATTTGGTAAAGCACATTAAAATATTAGGACCCTTCCATCTATGAGGAGTATTTGATTCTATCATGTTTGGGTCTTAAGAAGGTTTTTGAATTTTCAGTCAATTCGACCCTTTTTGGCCCCACCCATCAGCCCCTTGGGGTCAGTCAGGGTTGATATCTGCATAACATTAAACTGCTTTCCAATACTGATAATGCTAACCCAAATTGAATTACTTCCAATGGAAATTAAACAAATGTTAGTCCAAAATGTGATTTCCCTATATAAACTCTAGTAAAGATTACCCCCTCCCCAGGGGAAACGCGAGACCCCATGGTCATGAAATTCGCAATTTTGGTAATGCACCTTAAGACCCTTCCATATATTAAGAGTATTTGATTCTACCATATCAGGACCATGTTTTACTAAAGGTCGTTAGTCCACACGTAAACTAACTAAGACGTTAACGTAGACGTAAGTCGAGTTACGATTTTAGTTACGTGTGCGTTAGGTCCGTTTTATCAAAGGTCTTAAATCCGAACGTAAACGTAGGGTTAGACGTAGATTTACCACTGGAACTCTCCAAATTGGAGATACAAATGACTTAGCAACGCATCATGGTACATGCGCATCGCGTGCTTTCACTTTAATGTAAACATCGTCTGCTCGAAAACACTAAAAAAAAGGTCAACAATGTCGGCAAAGAAAACCAGAAAGCCGAATTGGAGCTATTCTGGAACACTACATTGGAATTATTATATAATTATTTCTAATATAAATTTTGTATTGTTCTTTCAGAATAAATGCTGTGTCATGTCAGTGCCTCTGGACTGTGGAGGAAACCAAAAAAAGGTGGCAAGATGTGCAGAGCATCATAAAGAAGAAAGAATCTTCAAAGAAGAGGGAGTTAATAAGGACGGGTGGTGGCCCCCACCAGTAGAGGTGCCATTTAAACCTTGGGAGAAAGTTGTGAGTGAAATTTTATAGTTCATACTGTCGTTGAATTTGTGTGTGATTGAACAAAAACCTTTTGTTCGAAACATACAATAGTAATCGAGAATTTTTGTTATTTTAACATTGAGCCGTGTTGATATGTGACATTAAAGTCTAAAGAACTTGCATACATGCATACATCATAATGCCAATATTATATACATTTACTGTTTTTGTTTATTACATCAACATTTAAAATGTATCTGCCCTCACTGACTGCTTGTCAAATACATATGACTGATAAGCTTCAAGATACATGTTATGTATAATCTTGGTGTGGTTTATGTGTAAGTGAATTAAATTTTAATACATGTTGATAAATTGATTTGCTATGTTTTATTTTAAATATTTGATATGAATATTTCAGGTACTGAGCACAATAACACATGACGCCATACATGGCATTGAAGGTGCTGCAGACACTGGGCCTGACCATACTGGTAAGAAAATATAACTGAAAATATCAAATGTTATTTTATGTATGAATATTTATTGACAATAAAAAATATATAACAAAAATATATATATTAAAATTGAAGATGACAAGTGAATTCAATTCAGGATGTATACAATAATTCATTTATTGATAATAAAAATATATAAAACAAATCAATATTAAAACTGTTAGTCTTCATAGCATTTTGCTGATTAAGTTTTAGCATTTTATGTGAATTTGTATACATGTGTATCTTACAGGAGATAAGTACAAAGTGAAGAGTGGTGATCTGGGACATGCTCCGGGACCTAGTGGTGAGATGGGATCTGCTCCGGGACCTCCTTCGGGACCTAGTGGGGCTGTAGTAATAGGTATTGAGTACATGTACTTACATGTATATACCTGTAATATCGATTTGTTTGCTATGTATTTCTGGTAATGAGAGCATTTTGTAAAGTAAATTTAATATTATAAACAGGATTTGGCAAAATTGAAGCTAAAAATAAATGAAATGTTAAACAGGGCAGTGATATACAATTCATCAGCACAACCAAAATTTTCAGTGAATTTAAATAAAAAGATTATGCAATGAATGCTTTCGCAAACAGTTTGTTAAAATATTCATTATTTTTTTTATAGAGTAGATATGCATTATTTAGTTATTTCGCACTCCTAACGTCAATAACATTAACTTCAGAGTTGACAACAATCAAATTGATGACGTCACAATAGCAAATGTTGTCATAGTCTCACAACATTTGCCTTATCGATGCATTGCAATGGGATGATGCAGAGCAAATGTAAACAATGGCCCTTGCATCAATTAAAAATCTATACTAGACTAATTAAGAACAATGAACTATTAAGTAAATTACTTTGACTTTGGATAAACAATTGTGAAATATGAAAATCTATTTTATTTGGCTATAGATATATAATTTTATGCTAAACTTAATACAAATGCTACTGTTTTACAAATAATTTGGTAGGTGATGACCAGCTGCAAGATGCTCTTGAGGAAGAGGAACATGAATGCCCATTGGCCATGGGTGATGGCAATTTGTTGTTAATGTTCATAAATATCAATATTTATACTATAATTACATTAAAAAAAGACAAACTATTATCAAAATTATGCTATAGATTAGAATAGATATGTATTTTTTACATACAAGTATAACATGAATTAACATGTGCAAATTTACAGCTCATTACATTGGATGTAATACCTATGTCATGTTGAAACAAATGTAATATTTAATATAAAAAATCCATTTGTGAAAGGATTATATCATGAACAAAAATATTTGATTTAAAAGTGAAATATACCAGAAATACACTGTATGTGCAGGTAACACTTACATTTTAATATAAAAACTTGTGCAAATGAAGTGTTTTATTAAAATATGGAGAAGGAACACTTACAAAAATATTAATGTACCCTGTAATGGTGATTTACATGTATCTGACCAATTAAGTTTATTTTTCCCAAGAAAATATTAATTCACTAATTTAAATATTGAACTGAATTACGGTGATGATAAAAAATAACTATAAATAAATACAAAACACATGAACCATGATGTATGAATGCTACTATACTGAACACACAAACACATTTCATCAACATATGATAATTCATCAGTCAATACAGAATGTCTGTTTCAATATCAATAAGCAAGAAAATAAAAGAAATATACACCATTATCATGAAATTAAAATTTTACTTTCAGTTGTAAAAGGACGAAAAAAGAGGAAGGCAGTGGAGGAATCCAGTGCAGGTATATTAACTGTTCTCGCACCAAAAATGACCCAAAGTATTCCAGAATGATCACGTAAATGTAGGTCAAATTGACTTTAAAAATGAGTTCAGTTAATTTGAAAATTACATTTTATTATCATATCCAATAATGATTTTTTCTTTTTTAAAGATGCATATTATGATGTGCGTATGTACAATCGGTTGGAACTTATGATCTTTATTTCTGTAAAACGTGTATCATATTATACATTTTTTCAATTGTGTAATGTTTGTGTCGCTTTTTTTCTTTAATTTAGATGGCATTAGAGATGATTGCATCTGTTTTAGCAGATACATGATCTGTCTGATTATATTTGTCATAAATTGCTTGCTAAATTTAGTTCTATTTTATGAAATATATATAATTGGTTTCATATGAAATTAATAAAAGCAGGTTTTCAGTTAATGTATTTTGATGTGTTTTTATAAAGTAATAGAGAGGTTTAGCAAGCTTACGTGTACGTGTAGGAGGGGAATTCCCTAGTTTTTCAGTGTATGACGTCATCAGTTTCTGCGCTCGGGCACCTTCTACACGTATGCTGAACTTGTAGGGCGGACTCTACGCGTAAGTACCAACGTGTAGACATTTCTGTCCATTTAATGGTTTTCTTCTTAGAAAAGGATTAATTAATTAACCTATTATTTAATATGCAATTAAATGTTTTTATACAGTAGATGACAGATATCCGCTAAAATATATACCTTCTGAAATATGAACTCGGCGATGGCCAGATTTTCTATGTTACTGATTTTTTGTTTGTTTGTTTGATTTTGTTTAACGTCCTATTAACAGCTAAGGTCATTTAAGGACGGCCTCCCCTATGTGCAAGATGCATGCGTGTAGTGTATGTGTGTGTATTTTGGGAGGCTGCGATATGTTCGTGTTTGTCTCCTTGTGATAGCGCGGAACTGATGCCGACTTTATAGTGCTACCTCACTGAAACATACTGCCGAAGACACTCAGCAGGACGCCCCACCCGGTCACATTATACTGACAACGAGCGAACCAGTCGTCCCAATCCTAATTTGCTGAGCGTTAAGCAGGAATAGAAACTACCATTTTTTAAAGACTTTGGTATGTCTCGGCCAGGGGACAGAACCCAAAGCCTTCCTCACAGGGGCGAACGATCAACAAATGGCCAATAGTGAGGCATTGTCAAGGGAGACTTTAGGAAGTAGAAAGTTATTTAGAAAGGAGAGAAGAGATAAGGTCCCAAATTTAGTCGCCTCTTACGATCATGCAATTGGGGGCAGCAGGTACAATTCTTACGCCCTACCTACAGGGTCTCAATGTTATTGAATAGCGGTGTTATTCGACGATGTGTTAAAGCAAATTGGAAATTCATTAATCTACTTACTGACCAGAATCTATGCTATTTAGGTAAATCAGACAAGGCACAGTACACATTGAGTGTCGTTGATCAGCAACATTAGCACTACCGGGACCCACTGACCCCCCCCCCCCCCCCCCCCCCCCCCAATTGTCTGAGGAGGAGGAAAGGGCGAGACAAAAAGAGATGGACAGGGTGGAACGCGAGGAGCAGAGGCCAACAAATTAGAAAAAGGGCCATGGAAACTCAGCAAAAGTAAGCCTATATTTGGTCCATTAAATAATTAATAACAAGACACACCCCACCCCCTCACTGGAGAACAGAACTCCCCACAAAGCTCTCTCATCTCCAGCAACTGAGACTATATATTGATAAACTTTGTCCTCTGACGGAAATAAATAAGTTAAAATAACCATGTATTGTCATCGCTCTAGCGACTAACTTAATTTTTAAACAGATTTAAATTTGACAACCTTTATAGGGATGAGTTCGAATTTGAGGGTTCTAAAGTTTAGGTCAAGGTCTGTGGTCACTGTAACCATTTATAGAGTTGTACATGGATTTTTCGCCGTGGATGGTATTAAAGGAAAGGCCAGAACATTTCCTATTCAGGAAAAATAACCAAAACAGTTTAAATTCCGTATTCTACAAGTTTTCTGCGCAAAACTCTGGGAATGCATCTTTAATATGCTATGCTTATACTGTTTTGCCTTAATGAAATGTAAAAACCTGCTTAATATCATCAATGTAATCAGCACAATGTTATTCAGAAATTCTACTTATTTCTATTTCCAGGTGATGAAGAGGACACGCCAGGCAAAACACCCCGGAATCAGAATAGCACTAGTGTCATCACTAATTACCTAAAGGAGAAAAATGACACATAAACCAACATACGGCAACAGGAACTCCAGCTAAGGAAGGAAGAACTGGCATTACAGAAAGAGCTGTTTAACCTAGAACAGGAAGAAAGGCAGCAGCAGTCCAAGACGATGGCAGATCTGCTTAGGGCATTGATAAATGAATAAAAGTAAATGATATGTATTTATTTGGTTGTTGCTATCAGTTTGTTATATTGTTAATAAGATACTTTTACTAAGTCTGTTAGCCTACTAAAGTGGTTTACAGTGATATTGGATTGCGTCCACGAAAATGTCTAACTGTCAATAGTTCTGCATAATACCTCAAATATTTGTAATGGGAAATGGAATGATTTATTTGATAGCACTTCGAACGGGCTAGATTGCACTTATTTGGCCGGGCAACTTACACTGAAAAAAAATGTAATATATTTGGATCAAAGCTAATATATGTAGAAATATTAACCGTTAGGTGTATTTTGGAACTCAATCCAGTATGACTGTAAAAGCTATATAATTTCCGATGTTTAAAATGGTGAAAGTTCTTATTTTGCACTTCAACGTTTTAAACGTTAAACAATGACGTGTGACATGCGGATCTCTGGTTTAAAACCTTTAAGGGCATTTACGTGTACGTGTAGCCTACACGTACACGTAAGGTTGCTAAACCTCTCTAATATAATCTTGTATATATTTATTCATAATTCCAGTAAATATTACGAAAATCAGGAAATATATTTGTTAAATATTTCTATAACTAACACAGTATTTCCTATTTGTGAACAGGAAATACAGGTAAATAATCAACTTGTACTATACCAGAACAGACTACAATGACACCTCTATTGTTTTCCAGTTTTTATATAATTCCTTTGGTCAGAAACAAGAGATCCCAGAGGGATCTTGGCGCCCACCTTTGTACCATCTTCATTAGTTCTTTGTCAGTTCGATCTTTTCTCTTCTTTCCTCTAATCTGTTTGATCGGTTCATGTTAACAGTAAATGCACCTTGAGGTAACTTTTGATCTAAACTTAATACTGATGTGTTTGAAAGCCAACCTTCAAAGTTAGTTTGTCATTTCACATATTTACTAGTACAGTACTTAATGTGAAAGAAATAGAATCGATCATTGCAATATGAGAAAGATCTGCTTAGTTCTTCTTTTAATCCATTTTGTTTTTATAATCAGTCTCAAAATATAACATGCACAAGGAGGGATCAAGGGGAACCTACATATAAAATTTGAGAAAGATCCCTCCCGTACTTCCAGAGAAATAGCGATAACATACTTTCACTATCAAAATCCAAGTCGGCTGCCTGTCGGCCATGTTGTTTATCCGATCAGTCTCAAAAGTTGCCCTGCACAGCTAAGGACCAAGGGGAACCTACATATAAAATTTAAGAAAGATCCCTCTAGTTCTTCCGGAGAAATAGCGATAACATATTTTCACTATCAAAATCCAAGATGGCTGCCTGTCGTCCATGTTGTTAATCCGATCAGTCTCAAAAATTGCCTTGCACAGCTTAGGACCAAGGGGAACCTACATATAAACAAGAATTGTTTAAGGACGGACCACGGACGCAGGGTGATTTGAATAGCCCACCATCAGATGATGATAGATTTAGTTGAACTAATAAAATCGGTAAAGGCCTGGGCAAACCTGATACAACAAATAACACGCGTGATTTCAGTAGTACTGTATATATGGTTGAGAAGTAACTAATTTCAAAACGACCTAACTATGCCAAAAATTAACACATTCTCTAATTTTTTTCACTGGTGTTATATACATCAGCAACTAAACGATTTTTTCAGTTTTAGTTTGACTAACAATAAAGATGAAAACCCGACCGATATTAAAATATTACGCTTGGTTTCAGCTAGTGTATATAGCATGGTTGAGGAATATATTAAATTTCAAAACACCATAACTCTGCCAATAATTAACATATTCTAACATTTTTTTTGAAGCATTGTGTTATTTACACTTACATCTGAACAAATACAGAGTTTTAATTGACCTAAAGATAAAGATGAAAGCCCGGGCGGTCCCGATGCTGCAAATAACACGCGTGATATGAACATCAGCGTAATGTAGCGAAGTATCTAGTTAGATCAGAATAAGTCTGTTTATAGTGAAGATATGTCACACTGTCTTTCATATTTTATTTCATATTAATTAAATAACCCGAGTAAAGTACTTTTATTAAATTAACTTTGCAGAGTTATGCCCGGACAGTTCTAATATTGTAAATAACAAGTGCAGTGTTGGTTAACTTCAAATTACAATAACTTGGCTAATTATGAACATATTTTGATGTTTTCCTCAGTTTTGTATTTTTTGTTTCTAAACCTATAAGAATAACTTGTTTTAGTCCAGCTTACCACACAAATAAAAGCCCCGGCGGTGTTTGTATGGCTCTTCTCCAGCGGGTTGTTGCGATGTTACTGATTTCAAATAGTCATAACTCGCTCAAATGTTAAGATTTGTACACAACTTCGTGATCATAACATTCATATTATCAAAAAAAATGCAACAAATTCAGTTGTTATGGTGTATAAGTGGAGAAAAACGCCCGGGCGGTCAATATATCAATACCGGGCTGTAATTAGTAGCACCCATATCATCCGGTGTATTCTCACCTGTACATGTGTAGGAATAGCATGGCTTCTGGCAGTAACTGGTCGAAGTTGTCCATCCGCACCATCGATGATGGATAAGATAATGTGTCTTGGAAACCTAAACCTGCTTATAAGTTCTTGGTCGGCTCAGCACCTTAGTGCTTTATTATGGCTCCTTGGAGTATATACTTCATTTAAACAGCTTTATTGGTCAACAAAGAAGAAAATGTCAACTTGAACCCGTTATCGAGAAAGTTGCAATTTAGGGTTATGTTGCTATACTATTGGAGAGCCCCTGGTTGTTGAGTCTGTTGATGTGTAGCGCGTATAGATAGTTCCTGGAGGTATGCAGGATTGCACAGTCTACGTCCTTTTTGACATATATGTTCTTAGCCTTGACAAATTGTCTGTGGTTGATTGTGATCCAAGTCATTTCTTCCTCACACCGAATCGGTAATTTGTCATCGAGTATTGAGTTGAGTTTTGTGACGTACCTGGTTCGAATATCAATTGAGCTCAAACACTGAGCAATAAAATGTTGTCTAGTTTCTGGTTGATAATTGCACATAGGGCAAGTTGGATCGATCTTATATTGGTTGAATATCGCTTTGGTCGTTTGTAACTTTTATGTTCCAGTTAGAATTCTGGGTTTCACTGTGATATTCTTTGTTTCGTAAGTTGTAAATAGAAGAGTTCCAAGAATCGGATGAACTCTTCCGAACGACCAGTCACTGCCAGAGATGAACTTTAGCGAAAACTTATCACATTTCAAGTTGAGATTTGATATCCACCATTTATCGACTGCCTTGTACAGTTGTGTTTTTCAAGATTGTTTTGATATTCTTGAATTGAATAGTTCATAGATGGAGCATAGGTCATATTCATGCAGGATCTGTTTTAATGTGTTGGTTTAACTTTTGCTTTTGGAGTCTTTTACTGCAATTTGTCGTTCGATTATTTTGGTTTCGAGTGTATCTTTATCATTGCATAGTTGAATTAGCCGAGTTAGCCTCCTGATGTTAAGTAATGCTTTTATTGGTCTATTTCCTGTTAAGACGTAGATTGTCTCTACTGCGGTGTTGTCGGGTAGAGACAGTTGTGATCGCAGTACTGATTTCTAATAATGTTCGAGTTTCTTTATTTCGGTTTTATTCAGGTGAAGAGTTTCCAATCCATAAAGAAGTTTTGGTATGGCGTAGGTGTTGCCTCGGGACATAATCCGTTTTTCCCCATGTAGACATGTACCTAGCAAGGCGTAAACTGTGCGCTTTGCGCTGCTGATGTGAGAGTCGACGTTGGATTTGTTGGTAGAAGTGCGAATGATGCCTAGATGTGTGGCTTCTTGTTGAACTGGTAGATCTTGAGATTTAGTTTTTCTGTACCTGGACCAATTGACAATTGACAACTTTTCTGAATGTTTGTTTGTTTGTTTGATTTTGTTTAACGTCCTTTCAACAGCCAAGGTCATTTAAGGACAGCCTCCCCTGCGTGCAAGATGCATGCGTGTAGTGTATGTGTATGTATTCTGGGAGGCTGCGATATGTTCGTGTTTGTCTTCTTGTAATAGCGCGGAACTGATGCCGACTTTATAGNCCATTTTTAAAGACTTTGGTATGTCTCGGCCAGGGGACAGAACCCAAAGCCTTCCTCACAGGGGCGAACGCTCAACAAATGGCCAAAAGTGAGGCATTGTCAAGGGAGACATTAGGAAAAAGAAAGTTATTTAGAAAGGAGAGAAGAGATAAGGTCCCAAATTTAGTCGCCTCTTACGATCATGCAATTGGGGGCAGCAGGTACAATTCTTACGCCCTACCTGCAGGGCAGTTTCTGAATGTTGATTTTATAACGATTATTGTTAGTATAATCTTGAACAATGTGTAGCATCTTTTGTGCTTCAGTTATAGTGTTGCTCAGTAGAATAGTGTCGTCAGCGAAGGTGGGTGTCCAGGAACCAATCCAGGCTTATATTTTTTTTACCGTTTATCGGTAAATTTCCCCTCGAGATAGAAATTCCCTTAAAATTCCCCACAAGGCTCGTTAAAAGTTCCCCAAATGACACTAAAAAGTCCCCTTCTCAAAGATTTCTTTTCCCCCAGCCAAAATAGATAAAAACAGTTCCAAAACGGTAAAACTCTGTCGAACGCACCTGACGTTATACAAACATATTAATGACCGGGATGTTTCAAGCTTTTGAGTGACGTCTCCGACGTAAACAACAACCTAATCATGTCTCACAAAGCGGGATATTTCGTTAAAAGACTCACAAGTGACAGGGTTTACTTTTTTATGAATAATTCTAGTCAAATATTATCTTGTTTTGGTTGAGTCTTGTTGTATTATTTAGTTAGTCCCAGTCAAAATGTCAGTGTGCAATATTGCACAGCCTCATTCCATGTTTCTAGTC